GTCCTTGCTCCTAGTAGCGATGCCAGGAGCCCCTAGTAGCGTCCTTGGTATAGGGCAACAAATAGGCGATGAACCAGGTGACGGTACTTGAACAATCGCTGAGACACTTGCAAACAACGGAGCTTAGCAAGGACAGGGAAAGACATACTGTGGGATACACATGTGCAGAAACATTCTGGGCAAAACTGGCATTGGCTCCGGCACAAAGATTAGCTGCGGCACAAATGACACGTGAGCAGAAGCTTTTGTGAAACGGATACTTGACAACACCGTGTCAATGTCATCCTGTAGCCAAAGCAAAAAGCCTCGCACTTCGTAGAAACGAGCAAATCCGCTGTCCCGCAGGCGAAGGCAACTTCGGCGAAGACAACTCTGAATCCTAAAATGGAACGACGACACAAAGAGAGGTTCCAAGGAAGACGATGCCCGAAGGCAAAAGTCTTCCAAATGGATTTTCACAGTCCTTCAGACTTTCGCGCTGTTCGCAAATCTCACAAACGACATGTCATTGTCCAAGCCTCTATACTATACTATACTTAAAATGGGATTCTTCGTGAATGTTTGTGAAAAGAAGGAATCATAAAGTTCAAAGGAAATGCCAACAATACAAAAGCTCTTGATACACACAAAGACCCTTTCAATCAGACCACCACTAACCACCGTATAATCAACAATCAACATGTACTTTCTAAATTGCGGTTTGAGATATATGTGTTTCTTGAGGCAAATAGATCTTTTCACCATTTCCCAAACATCTTCTCTGCAGAGGATGATTGCAGAAACTTCATCCAGGTGTCAAGACTCAGAAAAGATTGAAAACAACAACTTCCAAACAATAGTAAGTTGATCCACCCAAATCCATTTATATACCCCCTTTATTGTCCCATCATTTCATCCCCATCTCCCTCATCCTCTTTTGGCTTCTTTCAGCGTGTCTCATCCGGGCGCCCCCGGCGGGAGGTCAAACCACTGGCGCCCGGCTGAAGCACATTGCCTCGGGTTCGATGTGGGTCGATGGAGGGCGATGAAGCCGGTGGGGGGGGGGGCGATTCTTCCGGCACAACGTTCAACTAAGAGCAACACATGCTGATGGGTCCTTCATCTTGAAATGGTCCTTTTCTCCAAAAAAACCGCCCAACAGTTCCCAAGTCTCCCCTACCCTTTGCAACACTCGTATCACCGGCCGTCTTTACTCCCACTCCAGCTGTCACGCTCTCCGGAACCACTCCCCCCCCGGAACCACTCGTGCCCAAGCGGCCGATCTGAATGTCACCGATGTCCTTGGGATTCACTTTGGTCCGGGCCACGACCTGGCGCGACATCGCTCGCTCCGCGCAGATCAGTGGGCCCTTTTGGAGACCGGGCTGGGTTGGTGGGGCACCTGACCAGGTTGGGTCTGCGACCTCTCCGCCTTGGAACGCTTCGCGGAAGTCCGAAGAGAAGAGACGCAGGTGACGACGCCGACGAAGACGGCCAGACTGACGCAAGCAACAGACCGCGGCCGCCTCTTTGAAGACTGCCGCCAGCAAGAGCTCCGGTGCCGTGTCCTGACGCCCGGCGAAACGTCATCGGCGAAACGTCATCGGAACACCTCCACCACTTGTACCTACCAGCCTTCCAAAAGCACCTTCATGACGTCGCCCAAGAAGGCATGCATGCACTGAACAAGAAAGAAAAGAAGGTGTCAAGTTTGCAAAAAGACCAGTTCCTACCTGTACAGGGAACAAGAAGCTACTAGGAACAAGTGCCACGCTAGTAGTAACAAGTGCCTTACTAGTAGTAACAAGAAGCTGTGAGTTCCTCCCAGTCCGACACTCGGAGTCCTTGAAGGCTCCGCGCTTGGCCTTGCACAAGGGCGTCCGCACGGCGCAGCAGATCACCACATCGTCCTGCCCACAAAACACCGTTCCGAAGAAAAGAGGAGCTTTCACCCATTTCCGATTAATTCTTAAATCGATGTTTTAATTCTTTATTCTTTATAGAATTTTAAATCCTAAATCCAGTTCGTCTTTCACCCATTCCGCCTCAGCCTTCTCAGCCGCGCAGTAGCCGGCGGTGGGCTGAGCTCCTCGTCCAGGAGATGTCTTTCAACGATCGCACACTATCTGGAAAAAAGCAGACGATCCTGTGTTTGGGCGCATAATTTGCTACACCCCGGTTTTTGGAACATACCGTTCCACGCCCTCCGTTCCACGCTGGAACAGCACCCCCCGTGATCTATCTGAAAAAGGGATTGAGCGAACGGACGGTGAGTCGTTGAATTTCAGGGTGCCAAGATCTGTTGGGCAACCGGTGGTCGAATCATTTGAACCAGTACTCCTCAGTTTTGTCCAGGCCAAAACAGATTGGAAGAATGGCATGTGGTGATGAGCAATGAAGCCATAAATAAACAGCAGGTTCCCGAACACAACCCCCAACTGTTTGGGCCCCCCAACCAACATCTCTGTGTTCAACAGAGGTCTCAGCTTGTCACTGATGGAAAAAGAACACGGTTTCCACACGATCGACAGAGAATGTTGTTGTTTCGTGTTGCGTAGAAGCTCGAAGGAAGGCAAAGGATACGATACAAATACATCAATGGCGGCCATGGCATGTTCCGAACACCGTGTTCCGAAACCGTTCTGTCGGACTCCCCGTTTCGACGGACCAAGTCGCCCAGTGGAGAAACCTGTGCCATGCTCTCCCTCACATGGCTGGCGATGCGCGCAACGCGGTTCATGGCCGACGGTGTGGGGTGCAAGGCGCGGAGCGTTTCGGGGATTTCGCTGCAGGCGGCTGCGAGGTGTGCCACAGGAACGTCCCAAAACGATCACTTCAACACTTCGGTTCCAAAGAATTGGGTCGGCCTTGGGGGCCTTGGGGTGAATCCGTCAAAAGGCGGGAGATGGGGGAGTCACACGGTGGATCCTTCACGATCCTTCCCGTCGGTGTCAACTGACACAAAGATGTGGTGATTCAGTGGATACGGCGCTGGGAATCAGAACTGGTGGGACGAAATTGGAAGCACCGAAAAACTTAGAAACGAGTTCAAAGTGCCAGAAATTGCTATGCTCAAATTCATAGAGATACAGTACAGATGGGGGATTGTTACTACTGAACAATCAAGGGGAGTTTGTGGCCAGTGAAGCTACACTGATATTCGTCGTGTTAGAACTGTGTATTCTCCTTTGAATCCCTCGTTTTCACACACGAAAACTACCAAAAAAAACATGCAACAGTACAACGCAAGCTCTTCCCTCACGAGCCCGCTTCCTTTTTCAGTCCTTCCCTCATTCAGGTTCCTCTGCTGTGGAGTAAGTGGAAGGGTTGAAGTTACTACGGCCTCCAACTGCCAGGGATGCCTTGTCGAAGGCTCGTGCCGCCTCATCTTCTTCTTCGTAGAGACCCAAATGCCTTCTCCCAAGCCGTGCCAAGAAATGCCCTGAAGGCTGATGGTAGGTCACGCCTAAAAAGCATGAGGAAGTGCCTGAAGGCGCCCGTTCGTCCTCCCAAAGCTCATCGAAATAATCCGCGTCTTCACACCGGTTCAGCCAGCGCAGCTGCGTGGCCTTCTCCGCCTGGGTGCTGCGCAGCGACCGATCCACCGCCTCGGCGGCGGCGTCCTCGTCCTCGAAGCTTCCCAGGAACTGCTTCTTCCCGTAGACCTACTAGGAACAAGGGCATCGCTACTAGGGGCGGCATCGCTACTAGGAGCATTCTTGCTGCTAGTAACAATGTTCGCTATTACGAACAAGTACATCGCTTCTAGTAACAAGTGCCTTACTAGTAGTAACAAGTGCCACGCTAGTAGTAACAAGTGGCCTTACTAGTAACAAGAAGCTATTAGGAACTGCTTCTTCGTCTTCCTGCCTCGATCTCCGCCCTCCAAGCCTTCGACGTCCGCGTCCGATAGACGCCGCGAAAGCGCCGCGAGGGCCGGGCGCTCCAGTCGTCGAAGATCAAGCGCTCGGCGTCCAGCAGGGCGCGCTGGCTGTAGCGTTTCCGAAAATTCACCGCTTGGGCCTGGGAAACCCATGAGGTCCAGGGCCCAGGTCCAGTGTTCGAAACATGTCTTGTGTTTAAGCAATGGGGGGTCTTTCATTGTCTATAGTTGCTCACTACTCTATGTCTTTGTGTGCATTTCTTCTTTCCTGACAGTGAACAAAAATGAAAAATGGATCAAACCATCCTTGCCTGCAGCACGATCATGGCACAATCGTAGACTTGACCTGCCTCTCGCTCGGAATGGAACAGGCCAAGGCTCAAAGGTTCTTTTGTGTCCGGATCATCAATATGAACCTTGGACCAAACACTGCCAGTACAGCAACAAACCAAAAGAACCCGACCCATTGAATGGGACAAATCACCTAACGCTGACGTTTGGTACACGCTAGGCAGCCTGCCACAGAGCCAACCGTGGATGCCAACTGACCCCTTCGTAGTCCGACTGAAAAGAGCCGCGCCGTGGCACTGGAGGAGCTCGGATGATTTTCGACACCGTCGCGAAGCCCAACTCGACGGTGTCAAGCCCAAGGCGAAGCCACTCACAGCACAGAAGGAGGGCAAAGGCGGCGAGAGCTCGACCACTTCGCATGGCGATTTCGACCAAAGTGTCTTGACTTCAAGACTTCAACGGTGCAAGCAGTGCATACTTTCAGTGAACCTTGCGCTTAGAAATTGAGAAACCCATTGTGCATGCATAATTTGTTCGATATTCAGCCAAACTCGTCCACAAACACTGACCGCCATGGTTTACAGTGTTGCCACATGCCTGTGTTTGTTTCACTGCTCAGCAGACCCTCATCTTGACAATGGTTTGGCCTTTTCCATTCACAACCCGTTGACGTGGCACTTCTTCTTCTTCTCTTAAACACGACAGCTACATCTGCTCGTGTCAACAAAAATCTGTGGGAACCTCCACTTGAAAAACCCAACCAAATGCGGGTCATATGGAAGAGACTTTGATTGTATAACCCAACTTTGGGGGGCGCAAGTGACATGTATACTGTATACTGGTCTGCATGTTGGCCTCAAATATACCTAGCATCCCGATGAGACAACCACAAATGACCTGGTGTTGGTATGGTGGAGACCAGGTCATAAAGACCCCTGAGCCCGAACACAACCGGTTGGACCGACAATGTGACAACAAATCGGCTGTCGACACCGACAAAAATGAACGACTTGGAGACTTGAAACTGAAGGACCACTTGGAGCACTTTCGATCAGTTCGGGTTCGCAGTTGAGCACAAGATGAAGGAGATGACGGGCAATCCTTTTCTTTTGTACCCTAGAACCTTTTCTTCTAGCCCTAACCTGTTTTTCAAACCTGGAACCTGTTTCTTAACAGAAAACGAAGTTATACGGGTGTGGTTTTTACGCGTTTTTGTGGTTTGTGGTTTTCTGCGTTTTTTGAAAACGTTGGTTGTTTTGAAGAATGTGTCTAGCAACCTGATAGGACCCACGAACCCGAATGCAGTCACTTTGTACAGAGGCGTAGCACTCAAAGCGTTCTTGTTTTCGGAAATGACTCGCAGAGTCATCAACTAAAGCAGCGCCAGCACCTCCCCAGCCGTCTAGACACTCTTTCTTGACACACTTTGCTAGACAATCTTTCTTGACACTTTCTCTTGACACTCTTGCTGGGCACTCTTGCTTGACACTCTTGCTTGACACTTTTGCTCGATATTTTTACAGGACATTCTTGCTTGACATTTTTGCTTGACACTCTTGCTTGACACTCTTGAAATCAAGCATTTGTCACAAGACTTTCACCAGAAGCGACAATCAAAGCTTCCAAAAACGAGCACTTTCCACGAGACTTTCTCTGGCTAAACAGTCTTGCTTGAAACTCTTTCTTGACACTCTTTGCTAGACAATCTTTCTTGACACTTGTTCTTGACACTCTTTGCTAGACACTCTATCTTGACCCTCTTTGCTAGACCCTCTTGCTTGACACTCTTGCCTGACACGTTTGTTGGGCACTCTTTGCTAGACACTCTTGCTTGACACGTTTGCTGGGCTGTTTGATAGCGCACCTTTTGAGCCCACGCGCTTCAGCGGAGTAGTTTTCAACTAGTGAACAGTGCACCTCATGACTGTACATTTGGTTACCTAGTAGGTGCTAAATGTTTCACACGCCGCCTAAAAGTTCGACGTTTTAGTCGCACTTTTCTTCCTGCTAGGTTCCACTTCATCTAAGTGGTCACGGGATTAGGCCACCTAGCACGTTCAACTCATCTACGTACAAATAATGTACGGACCGTTCCGGAATTGTTTCAATGCTATTGCCACAAAAGACCATTGCTAATTCAACTGCACCAAACTGTTGTCATTCCAGCTCAATGCATCGTAGTGCTGTCATATGAAGATGCGTGGTTCAGCTGGTGCACGCACCTCCATTGTTGTCATGCAAAATTCATTCAACATTCGTTCTTGGCTCATTCTCGGGTTCTCCACCATCACCATGCGTCGTCTCGGTTGTTGTCATTGCTGTCCCTGCTGATGCTGTTGCACCATTGTTCGTTGTCTCATCTCCTTCATGTTCACTTTCGCTACTCCAATGATGGAGTGACATCCACATCTCATGATCTGACACTTCATCAAGTCCAGAGTTCAATTATCGAGCCACCTTAGTGTCCTCTGACTCGAAATTTTCTTGGTCCTCTTCAGAAGCTTCTCCATCTTCCTCATTGGAATCATCTCTTGTGTTCCTTGCAGTTCCATAGTTCCTCCATGGAATGTTGCTAGGATCGAAATATCCTCTGTCTTCACCACCAACCACATCACCTGCCGCTAGTGCTGTGTCAACTGGTAGGGCTTCTTCTCCTTCTCCCAGAAAATCCGGCGAGTCATCACGAGGAGAAAGGTCTGTCATTGTAAAACAGAATTCATGTGCCCGTTGTCGTGCTGTTGTACTGCTCTCCAACTCTAATGCAGCAAGTGTTGCCCTCAAAATTCGACGCCTCTGTTCATACCGGCGCCGCCTCTCTTCTGACATCTGTTCCCTCTCCAACCTCCCCGTCACTCTTCCAGCCATCCAGTAGAGGAACCACTCAGGGCTCCAGGGTGCCCACCTTGGTTGCAAAGTAGGGGAACTTTGGGCCTCTCGGAAGGTCAGAAGGAACAACTGGCATTGGATCTTGGGACGAGCTAGCACCTGTAGTTGAAACTGGCCTCAACACGGAAAGACGAGGTTTTGTTCTCTCCGGTTCACCTGCTTCGAGATTAGGCCCTTCTTCTGTTCGGCCCATTTGTCTCTTCCTCTTTCTTGTTCTCACCCAGGATTGGATGTCGTGCCAACTCGCGTAGATCCAATTCATACAAGCCAATATCACGAAGACACATGCTGTAAAAAGGAATTGGTGTCTCTGGTCTTCAGGTTCCAACTGAAAATTCTCTTGCTCTCCACAACCTTTCATACCAAGGCTTGCAACAAGAATGCACTTTGTACCAAGCGTTTGTTCGCTTTGTTCTTCACCCACCTTGTTGCTCGTTGGATCTGTCCCTTCCACATTTGCTCTGCAAAATATTCTAGTTGCTCTTGTTCGCCGACAACTTCAACTGTTTCATTCGATGAGTCCAGCCTCACCGTTCCAAGAAAACTCAACAAAAATCTTCTTCTCGATGCTGTCAACCTCTTGGTGTTGAGATCTGCTATATTCACCTGGGTCGAAATTGGTAGAGCTCGAAGGACTTGGCCTCTGATGGCCTCTTGTAGCCAGCATAGTCTCACATCGATATGTTTGAGCCTTCCCAACCCCGACCTCTGAAGCCACTGTCGTCCACTCGAAGAATCACTCCTGGCTTCCAGAATGACTTTCTGACCTGTCATGAATTGCCAGACCTCCTTCAGGAGCAAAGCTTCACTCGAGCCTGAAGTCAAAGCAAGAACCTCAGCCTCGCACGAACTCAGGGATACTGCTTTCTGCGTCCTGCTGTAGGAAAGGATCGGAAGCGAATTCAGCAAAATCATCACCGAAGTCGTGGACTTCCGAGCAGGACCACCTGCCCAGTCGCTGTCACAAAACACCTCCATCACATGATCCTCACCAGGCTCAAGATCAAGCACATTGTTCAACCTTGTCGCCATTCGGCTCCCAGCAGGAGTGTACAACATTCGAAAGGATAAAGCTGCAGTCCCCTTCAAATGAAGTAACAACTGGATCAAACAACGCTCTGCATGCTCTGTTGGGTTCCTCATGAAACTGGCCAAAGACTTCACACAATATTGAATGTCCCATCTCTCATGCGACATGTACATGGCCGTTCCAAGAGCTGTTCTGAAGGCCGATTGCCTCTGATCATCCAAGTCTGCGGAAGAATTGGGCTGTGTCAGCAGACTGTGTTCAGGAACTTGTTTCTCTCTTCTCTCTTGCAAATGATAAAGCTGCACCAGTGTCTCTGTAAATTTCCTGTTCGGTTTCACATAGATGCCGTCTTCCTTGAACACGTACACCTTTTTCAAATAATTCAGCTCTTCATTCGAACCCAGTGCCTCTGTTGGAAAAGGTCCTTCAGCCTGCAGTTTGTAATGCTTCTCCAATTCTTTCACCAGCCAATCAATGTCTTCTTTGCTCTCTGCTGCAATCAATTCGTCATCCACATGAACATTAATTGCCATCTTCCTGGTGTTGTGTTTCAGAACTGAAGGCATGGCTGTACAAGAATAGAAACCAAGCTTGTGCAAATTCTTGGTGAAATCCTGAAACCATCGTTGAGCACCATTTCTCTGACCAGGCAGGACCTTCCGTAACTCCCAAATGGCTTCATCTGAACTTGAGCTGTTGTTTCATCCATTGGGAAATTTCAACATAGCAAATTTCCTTCTGTTCGAAGGTCAAATAAGCATCACTGATGTCTAGGCTAGCCAGCTTCCAACCGAAACAAAGGTGACATAGCAAAAACAATCTCACCACTCCATGGGACGAAGTTGGAGAAAAAGTTTCTTCAGTCGACGGGCCTGCCTTGAACTCCCTGGCAACAATCCTGCACCGTCTCTTCCATGCACCTTGCCTGAACCGCCAATCAAATACCTCCTTCAAATCGATCCACTTGCCTTGAGCATCCATGTTGTGGCGTAGCACGACCTTCACCACTCCGAGACCTGTCAACTTTTCTACTTCAACTCGCATCGCTTCATTGTCCAACTCCTTGTCAATCACCTCCCAGTCCACTTCGCTCTCCCAGCAAAGGTCTCCATGCGGCCTGTCCGCCGCACTCACATTGCCAGCAAACAAAGGTGCAAACAATGATCCTTTTGGACTTGATGAAGGACTTGGAACTCTGTCGAAGCTTTCAAACCTAGCTGCTTTCTTCTGTCGTTCATCTGGACTTTCGTTAGCTTCTCTCTTTTCTGTCGGGGCACCTTCTTGATCAACTTCAATCTGCTCAGGGGTTGTTGGAATGATGGGAATACCAAGCAAACTCTTCCGTTGGACATCTGACAAACGTTCTAGAGGTTCACTTGCCATCGCTGTAGGAACTTGTTCTTCTTCTTGTGGACTTCCTGGCTCAGTAGGTTCATACGAATGAGCATGTTCCAACACTTCCTCTGCTTCCTCATCTACAAAGCCACTTCCCAGCAAAATCGGA